AATACGCCCTTCTATTATCTAGACATTTTCTTAAGGCTTTGTATTATTAAAATATCGTGAACATTCATTTTACGTATAGTGCAATTGTTTTGCATTTGTAAGTGCAAAGTCGAACCGCTTTTCACATGTGTTGACATGTGGTGTGCTTACAGTAAAAGCAGTCGCCTACTTCTACCCACCATGATTATCATGGCCTGTACCATGTGTATTAGGGATAAATACAAAAAAAATGTTACGTATATATTTTTTACTTATCCCTAGTACACGTGGTACAGGCCATGATATTTATGGTAAGTAGGCGACTACTTTTACTCTAAGTAAACCACATGGCTACACATTGATCTTCTAAATAGAAATAATTCGTATTTTTTCCTCAAATATAAAATCTAAAAAGACCTTCTATGACCTAGAAATTTTCTAAAGGGCTTTTAATTATCAAACTAATGTGTACTATCATTCAACTTTTTTTTTGCTTATTCCTAGTACAAGTGGTACAGGCCATGATATTTATGGTGGGTAGTTAGCGACTGTTTTTACTGTAAGTGCACCACATATCTACACATGTGAAAGGCAGTTCGACTTTTGCACTTACAAATGTGCCATAGCCCCGTTTGGTTACTTACACTCGTTGGTAGGGTTGGACTTTTTGTAAGAATAGGGGGAGGGGGGCTATTGAGGCATTTTTTTTTTAAATCAGAAAAAAGTGCCCAATGCGGGAATCGAACCCGGGTCATAGCGGTCGAAAACCAACAGTTTAGAGCAGGCATGTCAAACTCGCGGCCCGCGGGCCTCATGCGGCCCACAACGAATATATTTGCGGCCCACCAGAAAATATATTTTAATAATATTTTTAAAATAAATGTTACAAATATTTGCCAGCCAGATTTGAAAATACTCGAAAATTAGCATATGAAATTATGTCCATGTTTGGAAGTACTTATCGGTGCGAGCAGTTATTTTCACTTATGAAAGGAAATAAGTCTCCAATCTGATCGAGAATCACTGACGTTCACCTTGGGTCAGTTTTAAAATTAATCACTGTGAACAAGATTTCCCCCGAAGTAGGAAAGATGGTAGCAGAAAAGAGATGCCAAATATCAGGGAGAAAATATTAACTTTACTTTCTTTTTTATTATTAGTATTTTTTAAAATGAACCTACATAAATGTTACTATAAATATTTAATTACTTGTTTTCTTTTTTTGCGGCCCACATAATCTTATTACTTTTTTATTTGGCCCGTGTTAGGATTTGAGTTTGACATGCTTGGTTTAGACCATCCTTCTACCGACCTCCTTTTTAGATATTTCAAAAAGTATTAGATTTGTGTGTTGAAACACTGTTTATGAGACGATAAAAACCTAGTGTAAACTTTATAATTAGACTTATTGACTATACTAACACACAATCATAGGTATAAAGGTTTTGTTGAGAGAAATTTGTCATTTAGGAAAAGAAAGTATTAAAACATGAAAATTTATTTTACACATAAAACAAAATTCTACTGTCCTTACTGCGATGAAAACATATTGGGAAAGCTTGACTCATCAATGGTAAACCATCCCAGCAGTTTTGCCAATATAATCTACCAGACCGCTTCTTAGAGCTCTAATACTGTATTGGATAATTCTCCCTTTATATGCTGCACTGAAGGCTGGAAACTTAAAAATGGTATTCAAGCAAACTATATAAATATCTGTTAAATTTCTTCTGTCTTTACTGATATGAAAACATATTGGGAAAGCTTGGCTCATCAATGGTGAACCCTCCCAGCGGTTTCACCAATTTAATCTACCAGACTGATTCTTAGAGCTCTAATACTGTATTGAATTATTCTGCCTTTATATGCTGCACTGAAGGATGGAATCTTAGAAATGGTATTAAAGAAAACTCAAATTTATACTATCCTTACTGCGATGAAAACACTTTAGGAAAGCTTGGCTCATCAATAATGAACCCTCCCAGTGGTTTCGCCAATTTAATCTACCAGACCGCTTCTTAGATCTCTAATACTGTATTGGATCATTCTGCTTATATATGCTACACTGAAGGGTGGAATCTTAGAAATGACATTCAAGAAAACTATGGACATATCTGTCAAATATCTGATGTCACACTTTGTCTAATGGGATTTACCTAACAGCATCAAGGTCCAGCGTCTAAAAACTTCATCACAAACATGTTTAACCTTGAAAATTCATTTCACCAACTTGTGTAAGACTTCGTTGTGGATATTTTAAATATAGAACACAAAGAATTACTCTCGTAAAAGGAGAGAGTACTTCCCTTTACCAAATTATAAAGTTTTAACGAGGTTTTTATCGCCACATAAACGGTGTTTTAAAAGCGACGCGAATACAATATTTCTTTTTAAATATTCAAAATGCGTTTATAAACGGCTATTCAAAGATTTGTTTACATGAATGACTGTGGTTTTTATGAACAGAGTTGACCATGAGAAGGTATATGGTTTAGATATGATTCTGTGTGAACATGTAATGGAAACTTTTTAAATGAAACTGTTTAAATGGTTATTGTTGTCGTATTCAATGAAGAGCCTCAGATGTCTCCATACATCTCTATCACAGCAGTTACAATGTCCACTATCTTGGGTGTGTGAAGCTGCTGTTCTGGGTAATGTTAATTTTCTGTTATTGTTGTTGCCGTGTCCAATAAAGAGACTCAGATCTCTCCATGCATCTCTATCACAACAATGTTCTCTATCATAGGTGTGTAAAACTGCTGTTCTGGGTCCATGTCAATTTTCTGTAAGGCTGTGGCCATTGGTGGACATGAGAATATGTAGTGTTCAGATGGTTTTTTGACTATTGTACAAATCCAAACCCACTAGTGAATGTAGGCAAACAAACCTTTTATCCGTAGTGTCAAGGCACTGAATGAACAAACAATATTGGTTGAGATTCTATTGTCCTTACTGAGATGGGGAAAATTTTGGGAAGACTTGATTCATCAGTGAGGTACCCTCCCAGCGGTTTCGCCAATTTAATCTACCAAACCGCTATTTAGAGCTCTAATACTGTATTGGATCATTCTGCTTATATATGCTTCACTGAAGGGTGGAATCTTAGAAATGTTATTCTGCAAACAATAAAGACAAGGCCAGTTAGGCATAAATCAATATAAAGCAATAACACGTAATCTATACATAGGAAATGAAAACATTAAGACACTAATGTTTATTCTACATACTTGTAAAAAAACAAGCTTCTACTATCCTTACTGCGATAAAAAACTTTAATAACCGTACGTTAAATGTGTCTATCAATCTAATATTCAATAACACAATTACTTTAATATTTCAATCAATAAAAACAAGAAGTTATATGCACAAAATCATCATTAAATGACCAATTCTAAAATTAAACATGATTTATTTACATTTAAAGGTCAACAAAACATTTTAAAAAGTTGCTCCATCACTTGCAAGAATTTCTAATATGCCAGAAGGGTTTGTTTATTGACGAATTAAGATCCTTTAAACTTGATTATCATGTACTTTCTGGCAATGGGCCATTTGACCTTTAACTCGATGTATTTAAAGATATTTATAATCGATTATGAAAGACTTCTTCAGTTTCTTCAAGGAAATCTTCTTCTTCCTTGGAAATATCAAATTGTAAATAACATTATCATTAACATATTGGCCATTGAATACGATTAGTTTTTACAAGGTTTTGTAAAATATTCGACTTTTTATGCGTACTTCAATAAATATTTTCAATTAAAAATGATCTATGAAAGAAAAAATCGCTTCTTAGGCCAAAATGAACGTCAAAATTAGACGTCAAAGCTGATATTGTGGCTTTATTACTGACGTGAAAAAATGTGACACTAAATTGTTGGATAAAATAGAGTAAAAGAAGCACTGACAAACCTTTTGACAAACACTTGTAAATCATTTTGTTTTGGTTATATAAAAGGGCGTGCCTGGTCTCAAAATATTTCGAGAGATTGCTCCCTCTTTATCAATTTATTGCACCGTGAATTTAATTTACAAATTATTATAGATCACATGAAAACAAATTTTTCTTTGGTCAAAAACAATACATAAAAAAATTAATAATAATAATAATTATATATAAATAATTATTATCAATAATTGTTTTTGACCAATGAAACATTTGTTTTCATGTGATCTACAATAATTTGTAAATTAAATTCACTGTGCAATAAATTGATAAAGAGGGAGCAATCTCTCGAAATATTTTGAGAAAAAAGAATGTTTATTTTCTTTACAGAGATCCAGGTACGCCCTTTTATATAATCTTAATTAATGGATCGCCTTTTGACTCAAATCATTTTGTTTTGTTAAGAAAAAGGCATCTCCTTATCGCTGATTTCCATATCGTTGATCCATCTCGTTGATTTTATTTAAAATAGTTTAATATTTTGAATCGTTGATATTTATTACGATAGATGGCGCATGTCATCAGCAACTTATTAAAAATCAACGAGAATAGTTGATATTTATTCTGATAGATGGCGCAAGCCATCATCAACTTTTAGTTGCACAATACGGATATACCGTTTTCATAATTTATGTAACTTATCCCATTATAATATTTCATTTTGTTATGTTAATATACATTGGGACATATTTAAAATATAAAAAAGGAATCATTAAGTAGATTTATATATGTATTTTTGAATTTAAATTATAAGGTAGTATATTTAAAATGGAAATGCAAAGTTAATAATCGAGAATAAATGGTTGATTGCCTTTCGTCTTTCATGTGATTTAGTTCTAAGATTAATGTACCTCTTCAATCAAGCTCCTTTTAATCAATCAAGTCCTTGGACCCTTGGAATATTTGACCGAATTCGGGTCCAAGGTGACTAACATGATAACGGTACCTATTTTCCAATGAAGAACATAGTGGACATTGTAAAGGTTCAAGTGTCGTTTTACAATTACAGGCCGCAGTGTATTATATTGCATTATAAGTTACTTTATGTATCATTTACGAACGGAAAAATGCGTCCAGGGTAGCCTAGTGGACATGGCATCTGCCCGGTAAGCGGAACATTGTGGGTTCGATTCCCATCCCTGAAAACTTTTATTTTTCCGTTCATCATTACTCTTCATATTTCATCCTTTCATACCTCATCCAAAAAGGATAGAAATGGTCGATATTTCACCTTGAGATAAAATTTTGATTTTTAGTTTAAAAAGAAACTCATGCGGTGTAGCTTCAAGTGTCGTTTTACAATTACAGGCATTTCTACAGGAATATCGAATATGAAACAAATTTCACTTTTTTAAACCTTCTTTTCATATTATTTATTTTTGTAGAATGGTCGTTATACCAGAAAGCTTAATATGTTGGTAATAAAAGACGACACTTATCCTTGGAGACTTGCTGTTGATTCTCATTGTGATTAAAGGATTCTAACCATTTATTAGAGAAAATAAAAAGATAGCGAAATGCGTGTTCAAACCAGGGACATCAGGTTCTAAAGTCTAAAGCTTTGCAGTCAGTCTATTTTGCCTTATTATATAATAATTCAAAGAAGAATTAATATTTATAAATTTAAAATTTCAACCGGGGAGTCTTCCCCACCGTTCAAGTGTCCTCTTCCAGGCGATGTCCTCAATTCTACCACCCAGTCCCAACAACTATTTAATAGAGGACATTGCGACTGCTGTGATAGAGATGTATGGAGACATCTGAGGCTTTTCATTGGACACGACAACAACAACAGAAATATGACATGGACCCAGAACAGCAGCTTCACACACACAAGATAGAGAACGACTGCAGTCATAGAGATATATGGAGACATCTGAGGCTCTTCATTGGACACGACAACAACAAAAAAATTGATATGGACCCAGAACAGAAATTTTACACACCCAAGATAGTTGACATTGCGACTGCTACGATAGAGATGCATGGGGATTACTGAGACTCTTCATTGGACACGACAACAACAACAACAACAGAAATATGACATGGACCCAGAACAGCAGCTTTACACATCCAAGATAGAAAACATTGCGACTGCTGTGATAGAGATGTATGGAGACATCTGAGTCTCTTCATTGTACACGACAACAACAACAGAAATATGACATGGACCCAGAACAGCAGCTTTACACATCCAAGATAGAGAACATTGCGACTGCTGTGATAGAGATGTATGGAGACATCTGAGCCTCTTCATTGGACACGACAACAACAACAACAGAGATATGACATTGACCCAGAACAGCAACTATACACACCCAAGATAGAAGATATTGCAACTGCTGTGATAGAGATGTATGGAGACATCTGAGCCTCTTCATTGTACACGACAACAACAAAAGAAATTTGACATGGACCCAGAACAGCAACTATACACACCCAAGATAGAAGATATTGCGACTGCTGTGATAGAAATGTATGGAGACATCTGAGCCTCTTCATTGTACACGACAACAACAACAGATATTTGACATGGACCCAGAACAGCAACTATACACACCCAAGATAGAAGATATTGCGACTGCTGTGATAGAGATGTATGGAGACATCTGAGCCTCTTCATTGTACACGACAACAACAACAGATATTTGACATGGACCCAGAACAGCAACTATACACACCCAAGATAGAAGATATTGCGACTGCTGTGATAGAGATGTATGGAGACATCTGAGCCTCTTCATTGGACACGACAACAACAACAACAGAGATATGACATGGACCCAGAACAGCAACTATACACACCCAAGATAGAGAACATTGCGACTGCTGTGATAGAAATGTATGGAGACATCTGAGCCTCTTCATTGGACACGACGACAACAATCAAGTTACTTCAAGGGGAACGACCTATAGCTATAGTAGTGTAGCAAGATGTTACCTTGATTCATTCACTGAGGATTTTCCTGGGGAAAATGCGGTAGTTTCCCTTTTCCCCTTCCGCTTCCATATACCGTTAACTTAATAAAAAAAAACCTATATACATGAATATTAATAGATCTTGAGTAATAAATATCAGTTCTTAAGGGAAAAATATCTTTTCAAAAACCTTTTAATATCTAGCTTTCATTATACCATGTTTTCTAATAGATCAATTTTTGAAATTAATTTAATTATCAAATTCATAGGAAATATATATAGGAATATTTAATAAAAAAGGCATATATTGGATCAAAATATAATATATTTTACCTAAATGTAAGTGTAACTTCCAACTGTTGATAGAAAGTCGAAGTCTTTCTATTGTTCTTGCAAGGCTTAGAGCGTCATAACCAAAACTGATTGATATCCTTTTTAAAATAGAGCATTCCATAAATCATTAATTAAAATGGCATATATTGAATCAAAATATCATTTATTTTACCTATATATACCATAAGAATATATATTAATATATAGGAAATATATTAATTAAAATTTAATATTAATTGTATAATTAATTGTCAAAATTGGAATTATTACAGACGCGTAAGATTCTTTTTAAAAAATAAACAATTTATACTGCCCTTACTGCAAGGTCCTGGCTCATCAGTGGTAAACTCTCCCAGCGGTTCCGCCAATTTAGAAAGCAGTCAGATGGATTAAATTGGCCAAACCACTGGGAAGGTTCACCACTAATGTGTTTGCCAAGAGCCTTTCCAATATTTTTCATCGCAGTAAGGATAGTAGAAGTTTGTTATATGCTTCAAATAAACATTCGTGCTTTGATGTTTCCATTTCTTATACGATATGTTGTGTTCCACATTGTGACAGCTGTCGTGTGTCACAGCGCCTTGGAGACATTCGTCGGCAGAATTATCCGTCCTTGGTACTGGTTTGATTGGATCTTCTTCCTCACCCCACGTGGACGAAAGTTTTCGAGAGACTGTGAGACCATGCGGGATTTCACTCTTAAGGTAACTGCACTCTTTTTATTTATTTCTTATCTTAATCATATCAGGGTATCAAGCTTGTTGAGCTTGTTGATGGTGTCTACTGTGGAAGAGTAGAGCTCATCAATGGATGTGCCAATACAGTCAATGATGTAGTTTGGGGTTACAGGTTGATAAGGGTATTAAGCTTCTAGAGCTTGGTGTCTGCTGGGGATGAGTATAGCTCATCAATGGATGAGCCAATACAGTCAATGATATAGTTTAGGGTTGAAGGTTAAGAATTGCATGGTCAATATAGATTATTCTTCTTCTTTATCATCACCACTCAATCATATCAGGATATCAAACTTGTAGAGCTTGGTGTTTGCTGGGGATGAGTAGAGCTCATCAATGGATGAGCCAATACAGTCAATGATATAGTTTAGGGTTGCAGGTTGAGAATTGCATGGTCAATATAGATTATTCTTCTTCTTTCTCATCACCACTCAATTATATCAGGATATCAAACTTGTAGAGCTTTAGACTTTCAATGGTATCTGTTGGGGATGAATAGAGCTCATCAATGGACGAAGGACAAGGTAATATTGACAATTAGGACTCTTAAACAATTATCTTAACTTTATTTACACTTTCAGTCAACAATAAAAAAACAAAAAAATTGAAAACATAAAATTAAATTCAAATATATACAACAAACTGATCATCCCTCAATGAAGGGATATCTAGAATTCCTCATTGTCACCAACCGTCCTGAATTCGGACAGTTTCTGGCTTATATAGTGGTTACTGATTACGACTCTTAGAAGGTATAATAAAGAGAAAAACTAAAGAGAAAAGACAAAGAGGAAAACCATTATAACATACCTACAACTACTAGAATTCTAGCAAGATAATCTACACTATACAGACCTATCAGTGGAAGAAAGAAAAATGTAAAGGTTAGTTACCCTTTAAGCTTAACCACTTTTACCCAAAACGAGCAAATTTAGGTCACCACTTTTAAAATTTGTCATAAAGGTACTTTAATTTATTATAAAACTAGCCGAAAGACCCGGGCAACGCCCGTGTTTTACCCGATTGAATGTTTTGATTCAAATACTATTTGTTACAATTATAAATTGGCGCCTTAAATAAATGCATATTTTAGTTAATAACTATAGCCTATGTGCTTTATCTGTCTATGTACTGTTGGCTTCCGTAGGCGTCTCTTACTGGGAAAAAGAAAGAGAGGATTCCATTTGGTTATTAACTAATATATGCATTTATTTAAGGAGCGACCCGCTCCAACACAATAGTTACAGAAATGAGGGGGGGGGGCAAAGGTGGCGTGATCGTAGCCGACCAATAGGGGGGCGCCATTCCAAAAAAGAAGCAAACCGTGACAGAGGCCATGACGCTCGTAACTGTATATAGAATAAAGCTTTCAGGGCTAAGTTTCTTGTACACAACTTTTTATTTTCAAGTTTTCAGACTTGTCAGTCCTTCAACAGGATTATCACGTTAACAACTTAATGATAAATACTATTTTTATATACACGTTATTATATACCATTAACAATTTTGCTTAATATAAAAAGTGTTTAGATAAAATTAAATTAAATTTAAAATATATTGTAGCAAATTGTTTTTTATTTTATTAATAGATTATTAATTTCGATTCTGTATTTTGATACACTGTAAAATTTTATTCTTGCCTCTCTGCTATTTTATAAATTTTAATTTGGTTTCTACATTAAATATATTACCGTGTAATTCTGAGATTTGTCTTTCCTATTATCTACATGCCAATAGTAACCGTTTCTGTGGTAATTGAAAAAATTGAGGATAGTATATCATTAAATAGAGATTGAATCAAATGTCTTCCAGTCAGGACTAATAAAAATCATTGTTATATCGAGGTATTCGTTATATCAATAACGTTAAATAGAATTATATACCATATTTGCATATCATTTGGTCAAAAAGTTATCATTACGATTGGCCAATTTCAATTATTTCGATAAGAGTCCATGGAAATAGATAACCAGAACAGCAATTCCTATTTAAGATGTCCTAACATATTGGAGGAAGCGTGTAAATGGAAAATGAACAACCCACTATCCATCAAAACAGCATCAAGGTCACATGGGGAATGATAATCATCAATTTCCCACCACAATCATTCGACATGTCGAATCAAGACACGTTCTTTTTTCAGATGTCTTTTTGTGTTT